CCCCAAAACCCCAAAACCCCAAAACCCCAAAACCCCAAAACCCCGTAAGAATATCTGCAGGTTGAAACATGAATATAAAGCGAAAAATTAATAATATTTTCTAAATTATTCAAATAGGCTGACTATTTCTAGTCTACCAAGAGACAAACTGACACAGAGACTTAATAACCCCCGTAAATCTTGATTTTTAAGAAGACCATCTACAAATGAGTCAAGCAATTCCCAAAGTAACTTGTGCCAGGATGGTGGCTCAGGTTGTTCAGGACATGGTCCTGGCAAAGGAAATTCCATTAAAAAGGCAGAGAAAGATGTCCTCCCAAACTAGACTTTGGAACCCCTTTGAGAAAGAAGAGGAACTCAAGATCTCTATTATAGAGTACATTGATAGACTGGGTGACTACCTGCATGTTTCTGGATCGTGTTTTATCCTCGCACTGATCTACATTGATAGGATTACCCAGAAAGCGCAGGTGAGACTCAGCCAACTGTCTATTCATAGGCTCTTCACGACCAGCATCCTGCTAGCAATGAAGTACCATGATGACATAAAGATAGAGGATCCCGCTTACATAGCAACTGTGGTTGGGATCCCTCAAGCTGAGCTGAAAATTCTAGAAGTGGCTTTCATGAGCATGATAAACTTTGAATTATATGTGCGTCCCTCTAAGTTCAGACAATACTGCGAGTTTTTGGTTCTCTCGCAAACCCCAGAAATGCATTGGAATGAAGAGAAGGAGTTTCGGATCCAGATGAAGAAGAAAATGATTTCCATGGGCCTCTGCTCTTGAGGCAGAGCCGAACACTCCACTAGAAGTCCCTCCTTACACAATAGGAGAAAGAAGAAAAGGCAGAATACTAGGAAAAGAAAGCTTCTTAAAAAAGGTATTAAATCTGTTTTGAATTCGTCATTCCTACGTTCTGTTCATGTATTTTAAATTTTTGAATCAAACACACCAAATGTTTTAGTGGCTCTTTTGTAGATAGTTATATCAGACAGCAGTGATCCAGTTTAATACTAATTTTAATAATATTTATCACAATGACTGGTGCTAAGATGACTTGCTATAAAGCTGCAAAGATGCTCAAGCTCTATCTTTACATTGGGCAACCTTTTTCCTCAATTTGGTGATATTGGTGAAACTCGATATTTTCAGTTTATGCCATCTTCTTTTTTTACCATCATTTCTCCTTACTTTAACCAAATTTTAAATTTTAATTATAGGAAAGAGCCAAAATTTTGACACTTCAGAGGCCAAGCCGTGCCTGGTCACTCTTAATTCAGATGAGCCTAGTTCTGAAGGTAACTCTAGATTTTATCTACTAATTTCAAACCGTTTTGCGGGTTTGATGAAATAAAAGTTTATTTATGGTTAATTTATAGAATCAAGTGAGAAACCACATCTTTTGAAGGAGTGCCATGAGGAGTCAACCCAAGACTCGAGAGAGGGGTCCTTTATAGATAATTGCCCTCAAAATCGAACTTAAGAAATTTCCAATTTCTATACTTTTACTACTTGAACATAAGAAATTACCTTCACTTGATACTCCCAGTTTGGCTGCTTTTGGTCATTCATAATCTGCCTTTATTAGAAGTCGGTGATTTCTTGAGTGCCAAGTTTTCAACTAGCCAATAACCTACTGGGGTTTTGGGGTTTTGGGGTTTTGGGGTTTTGGGG